GTCCAGCACAGGTAAAAAGGTCACAGAGACTAGCCTTTTTCTGGCCTCGAGCGAGAAACAGGACTTGTTCCTGAAGAAGAAACCTAGTCTAACCCTCAGTTTTTTAAGCAGGTTATTGACATGACGTTTAAAAGTGAGACAGTCATCAAGCCAGATACCAAGGTATTTGTAACAGGTAACCACTTCAAGTTTTATTCCTTGCGTAGTTAAAATATCTAAAACAGGCTCTGGTGTCTTTTTAGCTTTTGAAAAGAGCATTACCTTGGTTTTATCAACATTTAAAAGAAGCTTTAGTTCAGAGAGCTGAGTCTGAATAATGTTAAAAACAGCCTGTAATTCAACAACAGCCTCCTTAATGGAGGGACGTGCACAGTACATAACGGTATCGTCCGCATAAAAATGTAAGGTTGCTCCATCGACATTTTCACCTAAACTATTGATATATATGGAGAATAAAAGAGGACCTAAAACAGAACCTTGAGGAACACCATTAGTAATGTTTAACCACTCAGAAGACAGCCCATCAAAATGAACTCATTGGGACCTTTCAGAGAGGTAGTTCACAAACCACCCCACTGCATGGCTGGATAAGCCAATACTGAGTAGCCTCTGCTTTAAGATGCGATGATCGACGGTATCAAACGCTTTGTACAGGTCAATAAATAGAGCTACACAACTCTGCTTTTTATCTAAAATACTTGTAATGTCATTCACCACTTTCATTGTGGCAGTGATGGTGCTATGTTGCTTTCTGAAGCCTGACTGATGTTTAGACAGGATGTCATTTGTACATAAAAACTCCTTTACCTGTTCACTCACTAGGCGTTCAAGAACCTTAGCCAGAACTGATCATTTTGAGATTGGCCTATAATTATTTAATAAAGTGGCCTCCCCACCTTTTAGTAGAGGCAGGACATACGCTGACTTCCATACTTTAGGAATTGTGTTTGTGCTGAGGGAGAGGTTAAAAAGAGTAGTGAGAGGTGGAGCAATAAAATCTGCAGCTATCTTTAAAAATAAAGGTTCCACGTTGTCCGGGCCAGCCGGTTTCTTAGGATCTAACTTGGTTAAAGCTTCATGAACAACATTTACAGTAAAAGGAGTAAAACTGAAAGGGTTTTCCAGACCACATTGTTCAGAGTCACCGACTGAGGTGTTCACAGAAGCAGAGTTAGTCACAGAATCAAACAGAGAGCCACAGGACACAAAATGCTCATTAAAACAATGTAACATAGTAGCCCTGTCCGATATAGAGCCAGATGCTGTGGTAATGCACGGAGGTAGCTCATTACGGATATCACCAGTGGATATCGATTTTATGGCTTTCCAACATTTTCCAGGATTATTTAGGTTTTCTGTAGTAACTGACAGATAGTACTTAGACTTAGCACTTTTAAAAAGGTCCTAACAATGACCACTAACTTGTTTTTATCCAGTAAATTAACTTTAAATAACAAGAAGATCCTTTGGTTTCAATGTGTCTCTAACAGGACTCACTTCCTCTGCTGCAGATATGGCCAGCTCTGATCCAGCTGCTGTTATTTTAATACACGGACGCCTCTTTATCCGAGCCATATGTTATTTTTAAGGCGACACTCCCTGAGCTTCAGTCTCTATCACTTCAGAAAAGCTGCATATGTCTCTGAAGTCAGCCTGAGGCGAGTCTCCCGTCTGCATCTCGAGTGACACTTGAATTATCTCCGCACTGACGAGAACACGCCCGCACAAGTGCAGCTATAAAGATAAAAACTGCTGCGCGGTGATACAGACCGACTGACAGAGTAGAGACTGCCCACCTACTGTTTATTATGATCAATGAGTTATTACTGACATGTTAGGCTCCTTTTGTGCTTTGCTGTAATGAAGAAGCACTGGTTTGAAAGACACTTTGTTTCACCATTACTGGTTCTGTGACTCAGTTTAACCACACATACGACAGGTAACACACACACACACACACACACACACACACACACACACACACACACACACACACACACACACACACACACACACACACACACACACACACACACACACACACACACACACACACACACACACACACACACACACACACACACACACACACACACACACACACACACACACCACACACACACACACACACACACACACACACACACACACACACACACACACACACACACACACACACACACACACACACACACACACACACACACACACACACACACACACACACACACACACACACACACACACACACACACACACACACACACACACACACACACACACACACACACACACACAATTTCCAAGAACTGTATGATCACATTTTTGGAAAACAGAGGATCTAAAAAGTAACTATGCATAACCTATATAGCTGAACTCCTCCAGCGCTACACCCCAGCCAGAGCTTTAAGGTCTGCTGACCAGCTGCTGCTGATAGTGCCCAAGACCAGGCTCAAAACCCGAGGTCACCGAGCCTTCGCAGCAGCTGGCCCCAGGCTCTGGAACACTCAATGTATTGTCTTCTGTTTGCGATTGTAGTAATGTGTTTTTTATTTGCATGTACAGCACTTTGGCCCGACCAAAAATCATTTTAAAAATGTGCTATATAAATAAAACCTGATTTGATTGGATTTGTGGAGGAACCCATACATTAGCTCAAGTAGGTACTAGCACTTAAATAAGGAAGGTAAATTAATTAATTAATTAAAGGACATTAAATTATACATAAATTGTATTAAAAAGCAATCATGAGGATTTGTAACTTCCCTTCTATATGATTGTATGACGCTTTTCTTAATAAACCAAAGGACTACTAATCAATAACGCAAGTAATCGTTATAAACTACGTATGATGATCTCTTTGTGTTGACACCAGGACTTATATGTAATGTGGTTGTATTATACTGAAGTGCTTCCTCATTACCTGTAACCCTTCAAGCATTTTAACATATCAGGTTGTGTGGGATTTGGAATAAAGTAGACTGAAGAGATTTAAAGGTTGCTTTGTGTCTGAACAGGATTGACTTTAAATGCTTCTATAACACACCCAGTGTCCAAAAAACAAGTATTTGCACCATCAAAAAAGTACAATCTGGAAGTACCAAAACTCCCCTTTTCATAATAATAATAGACGTTATATTACGGAGTTATAATTATTGATGTGTTATTGTGTTCATCACTTTGATCACCCACTGTCCAACAATGGTATTCAGACGTTAATGCACTCTATAAAAATACTCCATTACAAGTAAAAGTACTGCATTAATCCTACTTGTACTTTAGGTATTAAAAGCTACTTATTGTGCAAGAAATGGCTTCTCTGATTTGTTCTGCTTTTTAACTTAAAGGGGACCTATGATGCAAAATGCACTTTTGTTCGTCTTTTATACATGAATATGTGTCCCCGGTGTTCCAGGGAACTCACCAAGTGTCAGAAAACACAACCCTCTCTATTTTCCTCCATACCCAAATCTCTAAAAAAGGGGCTACAACGGATCTGATAAAAACTGATCCAGATTTGAACACTGTCCTGACGTCAGGACGGTGGCGCTACGGCTATTGAGCCAACTCCACCAATCAGGAGGAGACAACCACGGCATTGCCGTTAGAAAGCGCTGGAGACGCTGTAGTACATATGCCAGGCCTGTAGGTGGTGCTGTTGCTCACAGGCATGGCTAAAATGCATTATCTGTTTGGTATTTTGAAAAAAAAAAAGTATAAATATGCCTTATATAGGTATGGTCCTACACTATATTATTCAAATATAGCATGATAGGTCCAGTTTAAGATTTGAAATACAAGACTTTGGCTTCAGAGTATTTATCGCACCACTGGTGATTGTACTGGAGTCATAGTTCACTAATACAGTAGTAATACACATGATACAAATGTACAGTTTAAAATACATTCAAAATCCTACTTAACTACTGACAAGTACATTATGCAAAAAAGGGCTTCTTTGATGGTGTTTTTTTATATTTAGTGGAGCAATTTTTCAAAGTATTTCTACACGGTGATATTAATGTCACCTCACTGTATAAGGTAGGACTGCCATTGGTTAAACACACACACACACACACACACACACACACACACACACACACACACACACACACACACACACACACACACACACACACACACACACACACACACACACACACACACACACACACACACACACACACACACACACACACACACACACACACACACACACACACACACACACACACACACACACACACACACACACACACAATTAACTCGAATAATTACAAGAAATGACAAAGAATAATGCAATAAGCACCACTTTAAATCATAATTTCTTGAAAATTCATTTTTGTTTAAACGGACTAATAACCAGATAAATCCAAGTCAAATAGCACTTATTTGATGTTGATTAAATAGAAGACATAACCAATAATAATTGTATGACTCAGTGGATAATAAACTATTCTGAATTATGCAAAAAGGAACCAGTCATTTTGCATGAAAAAAAGCGTCAAAAACCAGACTTATGATCCAAGTCAAATAACACTCATTTGATGTTGAATTAATACAAGACATGACAAATAATAATGATATGTAAATGTAATGGATAATAAACTAGTCTGAATCTGAATAATGCAAAAAGCACCACTTTAAATCGTGATTTTTTTTAAATCAGTTATTTTGCATGAAAAAAACCGTAAGAAAAACGGATTTATAACCAAATAAATCCAAGTGGGCCGAGAGCAATGAACCATTTAGTCGACTAACCGACAGAGGGGCATTATGAGTGAAGTTGATAGATATGTAACAGCCTGAGTGTGCAGAGACCTCCCGCCCACCCTGCTCTGAACTGAATGACTCACATCGTATCAGAGTGAGCTGAGGACACAGGAAACCCTCACCATTAACACACATTTTCCATATAAACAAAGCTAATAACATACCAGCGACCCTTTAGTAACACACTTCCTGCAGCTTAATATCAGCTCAAGATGAAGGTTACTCACAGATAACGATGTGTCCTCCTCCAGCTCTCAGAAGAAGAAGGTCTTTCAAAAAGGAGGTCTAGTTTTGTGTTTATTCTTCTGCTCACTCTCTCATTTCACGTAGCTTTTGTTCCCCTCGCTTTACTGGGTTTTTTCCATTAAACATGTGCGACGCAAACCGTGCCGCTGCCCCTCAGAGCTGCACACTCACAGATTATATACCGCTACATTAACGTTACGTGAGTCCGGCCCACCGACCAATCAGCGACGAGCTCTTGGCTTCGCCCCGCCCACCGACGCGATGTCGTCAGACAAACATAGATCGTCTAATGTTCACAAGATGGACGTTTTTTCTTTTTTTGCAGTGGTGTTCGATTTTTTTTTTTTTTACTAAGCTTTATTTCAGTCTATTAGTCACAATGACTCGGCAATTTGATGCAACACAAACACTTAACCTATCTTTATAAACCCATAAATACCAATATGTATTATAGGCTATAATATATTACAACCTTTATATATACAGCCTATGATTACAACTGTAATTTATATAATATCCCATGTATACATTGTGTATAATAGACACTTCTTTGTGTATATAGACTCTTCTTGCACTATTTCTATTTTATTTGTACCTACTTGCACATCTCAAAACATTCTTCTGCACTATATTATCTGTTCTATTATTATTATTATTACATGTCAGTTGTTAGACGCTTTTATCCAAAGCGACTTACATACTCAATACTTTGGACAATCCCCATGGGAGCAATTTGGGGTGAAGTGTCTTTCCCAGGGACACAACGACATGCTGACTGCAGTGGGGTTTGAACCTGTGACCCCCTGATCCGAACACCAACGCACAACCCACTGCACCACACGCCTCTATGTCCTATATATTCATGTTGCTCTGTTGGAGGAGCCTGGGACTTCAGTTTTTCATTGCCATATCTACACTGTACTGTAGCTGCTGTGCACACGATGATAAAGCCTTGAAACTTGAAACATATGTTGCTGTAGTTCAAGATTGAATTAAAAGGTTTTAATGTCATGTTTTAAAGCTACAGTGTAGAAATGGCAATGAAATTCTTATGACCTGAGCTCCTCCAACAATGCAACATAGTTATATAATAAAATACAAAACTACAAATAAAAAATAGTGCAATAAGTCTATATACATGTTAATAGAATATGTTTTACAATGATATAATGTACATTTAAATATTGAACAGTTAGATGAAATGATATATGTCTTTTCTACTGTAGATATGGATATATTTGCTGTTTATGTTTATTTTTAATTTCCTCCAGAATTGTTATATTGTTTATATTTGATCTAATATTTATAATATATATATATATAATGACATATATTTTTACTTTACATTTTTAGTTGTTAATTCTCTTTTCCACTTTTAAAATATTTTTTATTTAATGTCTGAACACACTGATGCTTCTTCTGTAACAAAATATTTTTAATTTTGGATCAATATAGTATCTATCTATCTATCTATCTATCTATCTATCTATCTATCTATCTATCTATCTATCTATCTATCTACCTATCTACCTATCTATCTATCTACCTATCTATCTATCTATCTATCTATCTATCTATCTATCTATCTATCTATCTATCTATCTATCTATCTATCTACCTACCTATCTATCTACCTATCTATCTATCTATCTATCTACCTATCTATCTATCTATCTATCTATCTATCTATCTATCTATCTATCTATCTATCTATCTATCTATCTATCTATCTATCTATCCATCCACCCACCCACCCACCTACCTACCTATCTATCTATCTATCTATCTCAAGGTTCAAGGTTCTTTATTGTCAATCTGACATAGCTATCTATCTATCTATCCATCCATCCATCCCTCTCTCTCTCTCTCTCTGTCCGTCCGTCCGTCCGTCTGTCCATCTATCTATCTATCCATCTATTATGTTTACACCTTTTTAAAATAGTTTAATACTTGATCACATTACTGCTATAACAAGGATTTTCACAATTTGGGAACAATAAAGTATCCTTTTAAAAAAAATGTGAAATACCATCCTGGTCTTCCTTATCCTTATGATTTATCACATAAAGAACAACAGAAATACTTTCTCATTTTTCAAATAGCGGGTATTTCAGCAAACACCAAACATTAGACAAAACCCACAGGACAGAATTAAAATATAATACAACAAATACATTCACAGGTTATTCGGATATAAAGGTAGGAAATGCAAATTATTGCATTATAAGCATTTCAGAATATTCAGTTTATTTAATATTTTATCATATATTGTATTTTTCCGTTTTTTTTATCTACACTTTGGCTTTTTTTGTTTCTCACCTTCCTTTTTTCTAAACCTTTAGAAATAATAAACAAAATAATGAAATGTTCAAGACAACAAAGAAGTGACAGGAAGAAGTTAAACAAATCTCCAGAGTTGTATTAATTATGTTGTTGTTTTTTTGTTCAGTTATGTAACTCTTTAACATTAATTCCATAAGAACAAACACCATTTCCGTTTTTTTAGTTGTGATTCCTGTAATTTAAAACAGAGTGGGAGGTCTTTCTTCTCCCCCTACTCAGAACAGCAGAGTCTTGTATAATGATGGCTGGGTAAACTTGCCAAGGGTATATTTTGTCACTTTGGTCTTGATTGGATAACCTTGACAACCATGTAGGGATTGACATAACATTTGGTGACCTCTTGAGTCTCAATGGCTCTGATTTCTTGCTTTTGCCACCATGATGCAACAGCGCTGAAGCTTTCCTCATCCCTCACGTCTTTTATTGGATTAAGTCACTTAGGCAAAACATAGGAAGCACTTAACACCAATTACGGCTCAGGCTGATTACAACATCGTGCATTTTGAAGGTTTTTGTTCATAAAGTGTGTCTTCAAAGTGTGACATGGTGATGGCACACCTGTTAATTGTAACGCTTTGTTATTGATGTATGACAGTCTGTAATCAACTATTTGTTTTAATAAAGCAGTCTGGATCAAACTGATGGATACAAATAATATATAATATATATGTTAGTAATTTAGTTTTTGGGAGAAGGGGTGTGATTAAATAAGTGTAAACTTCTTCCCCCCCCTTTTCAGATCTATAATTAAGTAGATCATTTGTTTATATAGTCAGTAATATTGTTGTTTATCAATTTGACACTGCTTCACTTTGTACAGTATCATAATTCTCATGTTTCATTTCATTATTAATATTTGTTTTTGTATTATTGTTTTACACATTCGAAATAAATCAAATCAAATCAAATCAAATGGACCAACCATCGATAGATCGGCCAGTGTGGATATAAATATGAATGTAGCCTCAGCGTGAAACAATGGGACCTCTATGGAAAGCATCAGCAGTCTGTTTCAGGGAGGCATGTGGGCCTCTGGGAAAATGAAAAAGAGAAAATATGTAGAGCTGAACATATGATATGCAAATGGGGTTAGGCATGCGGAAAAACCTGAACACGGCAAACATGTAAAATCTTGCCATGTATATTTGTCTAATTTCTAGTCAGAGTATGTTGTTACACTTGATATAAGACTTAATAACTTAAAGTGCACCTATCATGCTATTTTAAGGCATATATTATGAGTCTCAGATATATAAAAATATATAAAAAACAAGTCTATGAAGTGTTTTGCTCAAAATACCAAACAGATCATGCATTTTAGAAATCCCTCATATCCCTCTATTGCAGCCCTGTTCGAGAAACGTTGATTCTGGGTCCTTAGCTTTAAAAAAAAAAAAAGGAGGCGGAGCTAATGCCTGATCAGAATTCTACCGGAGATAAAGTTAAATTCTGCTGTGATAAAACCCCATCCTGTTCTAAACCACATCAAGGATTATTTCTGAAACAGTATGGAGCTCAAATGCTTTTTCTCTCTCAGGTTTACCACAAGGTGAGTTCCTTTTTTTATTTCCTGCTTTTTAAACACATGTGCTCTACAGTACAGGTTAGCTCTGAGTGTTAGCGAGGCTTGCTAATGTAAACACAGAACATATTACGTCCAAAACACGTCAGGCATTGTTTCTGATAGCAACTCTCAATTGAGCTCTGATCCAAACTGTGAAGCTGTGTGCAAAAGGGGGCACCAGCGTTTGTACTGTCTTAGGAAACTGTCCTATTTTAACATTGACAAAACCATGATGATCATGTTTTATCGTGCTTTTATCGAGTCAATTCTGTCTTTTTCACTAATGGCATGGTTTGGTAACCTGACTTTAAAGAGCAGAAACTCTCTGAGTCAGATCGTAAAGTGGTCCAGCAGACTGATTGGTGAGCCACAGCTAAACGACCCTGTACCTCAGGCAGTGACAGCGGTTATCCAGCTCCATATTAGACGATGACTCCCACCCTCTGCACTCAGAATTTAAGCTTCTTCCTTCGGGCCGGAGGTTAGTTGTCCCAAACAGTAGAACGAAGCGGGATAAAAACAGTTTTATCCCAGCAGCTATTGCACAAATTAACACATCATAGGAGTGTCACACAGATGCCTATTCATTTATTTATTTAATTATTAATTTTGAATGTCCATGTTTGTACTAGTGTTTTTCGTCTTAACCTGTTAAGCCCTGAACCTGTTTTTCAGGTCTCAGGCTCGAAAATGACATTCCCAGAACAAAGGACCATATCTTCCCTTCTAAAAGGGTTAAATTAATAATCTTTTTTCTCAAAGTAATGATAAACCTGTGAGTTGGATGTAGAAGTGTCAGAATCAATATAGATGTTTTTTATTTTAAAGAAAATTCAGATTTTACATAGTAAAAAACTGTAAATTATAGTGTCCGTCCAAAAATTCTTTTTTACTTATAGTGAAAACTACCCTTGGATGATGGGTTAGTAGACTAAAAGCTTTAGGAATCCAAAGTACAACATATAACAAGTACCCTGTATCAAGATTGATGCAAAACAAGTGACATTTGACCTTTTTAGAGAGATTTAGCAAAAAAAACTCCACCTCTAAGGTGATTTGGGTGGAAATTGTTTTTTTTTCATATCTCTGGCCCCCCTCGGTCGATTTTGATGGTTGACACCTCTTTCTGACCGTTAGAGCCAATAGAATCGAAGGGGGGGTCCCCCACACACACTCATTGTGAAAGAAAAAGGTGGGGGCTTTGCGCATGTAATTTTGCATTAGAGTGAAGCTTCACGTAAAAGCATGGATTATCCGTCTGTTTGCTCATGG